ATGAACTGGCAGGCAGAAAACAGAGACGGAGATTCACAGGCTGAACTAGAACGAGAGGAAGGGAGAGACTTCCCCCAAAAGCTCCAATTGCATAACCAGCTGCCTGCTGCCTCCGACCCCTGTGGATACCTCACACTGGGGGGTGGGGGCAAACAAAGGCCACAACCTTCACCCCACACCAGCTCCTGCTCACTCACACACTCCTGTCTCTCTGCTGTGACTTAGCTTCCCACCACCCCTCTCCTGAACCTTTAATCTCCTACCCCCTCCCTGCAGTGACCTCTGCAATAAACACAATCTCACAGTTAACCCTGACACTGCCCCATCTTTTCCATTCTCAGTCAAGCTGTTTGACCAAGTTGTCTATACTAACCCAACTGGCTTCCTCTTCTCCCATTCATGGTTTTTATTTTTACTCATGAAAATGTCAAACAAGTTGTAAAAAAATAATACATAGACACTTGTGTCTACATTATTGAGGTAGGCAATGTTAACATTTTGCCACATCAGACCTTTTGGTTATTTAAGAAATAACATGTTGCACTGGTTGAGTGTTCCATTGATTAGAGCGTCGTCCTGACACAGCAGGTTGTGGGTTTGATCCTGGGTCAGGGCACATACAAGAAGCAACCAATGAATCCATAAATAAGTGGGACAACGAATTGATGTTTCTCTCTCTCTAATAACATTTAGGACTGCCCAGACCTTGAGATCTTTGTCCTGTCTAACACTTGCAAGAACTCAAAGGGGCATGTCAAAGATAGAGCTGAAGCCACCATCACTCCCATTTCCTGCCTCCCTCCCCCAAAAATTGCCACTTTCCTGAAGTTGGTGTATATCATTACCATATCAGATGTGGATTTTTGTTTAGTCAAACCATATGAAACTGCCAATACTTGACTTTTTTGTGTGTGTGTATTTTTATTGATTTCAGAGAGGAAGGGAGAGGGAGAGAGAAATAGAAACATCAATGATGAGAATCATTGATCGGCTGCCTTCTGTACACCCCCTACTGGGGATTGAGCCCCAAATCAAACCGTGACCTCCTGGTTGATGCGCAACCTCTGAGCCACACCAGCCGGGCAATACTTGACCATTTTTGATCCTGTCTAAAATAACAACCATTGCATGTGGATGTTGTATGGACCCTGATTCCAACAAATTAAAATAATGAGACAATTAGAAATTGAAATATTGACTGGTATGGAATGATACTAAGAAATCATTGTTAATTTGATTAGGTGTGATAATGATATTGTCATTATATATTTTTAAATAATCCTTATATTTTAGAGGCACAAGCTGAGGTATTTGTAAATGGGGAAATATGATACCTGGGAGGAGTAGATGGGGAAACATGAAACAAGATTGGCCAGGAGCCTGGCCAGTGTGGCTCAGTGGTTGAGCGTTGACCTATGAACCAGGAGGTCCTGATTCAATTCCTGGTCAGGTCACATGCCTGGGTTGCGGGCTCGGTCCCCAGTGGAGGATGTTTAGGAGTCAGCTCATCAATGATTCTCTCATCATTGATGTTTCTATCTCTCTCTCCCTCTCCCTTCATCTCTGAAATCAATAAAAATATATTTTTTAAAAATGATTGGCCAGGAATTGATAGTTATGAAAGCTGAGCAATGGGCACATGGGGATTCATTATATAAAAGTACTTTGTGTATTATTTAACATCCCATAATAAAAAGTTTCTAAACTATTGAAATATTGAGTCTTTCCATCCACAAACAGGATATACCTGTTTTTTTATTTACATTTTCTTCTATCTTGTAATAAAGTTTTATATACTTTTTCCCATAAGGTCCTGCACATCTTTGGCTGATCCAACAAATTTGCTAAAACTCTCTTATTAGTTCTCACAATACTAGTAACTTTTCTCTAGAATCTCTTGGATTTTCTATGTTGGCCATCAGATCATGTGTTAAAAAAATAAAAGAATGAAAATTTTGTTTTGCCGGTCCAATACTCAGAATTTCCATTTCTTTGTCTTGTTACATACTACTGGCTAGAACCTCCAGAATAACGTCGAATACAAGTAATAATGGATGCATCTACATCTTGTTACTGACTTGAATAAGAATGATGGTTTTTGCAGGTTTATTCATTCATTCCACAAATATTCTTTGAGCACCTATGATGTGCCAGGCACCATACCACACACTTAGGATACAACGGTGAACAAAGCAAAGGTCCCTACCCTCACAACCTTACATTCTAGTAGGCAGAGAGAGAACCGGAGTGTAATCAATGAGTAAATCTACAGTATAAGTGAGAAGGTGATTAGTACTGTGCAGAAAAAAAAAATACAGTAGGTTAAGGAGGATTCAGAGTGTCAGCGTGGAGATAGGTGCAATTTTAAATAAGGTGATGGAGTCAATCAAGCCTCGCTGAGAAAATAATATTGGAACAAAGACTTCTAGGTGGAAAGGAGGGTGTGAATTTCCTGGGAAGAACTCTCCAGGCGCAGGGCTCAGTCAGTTTATGGCCCTGCAGTACTAATGTCCTTGGCTGTTTGAAGATGAGAAAGGAGGCAAGGGAGGCTGGAGTCGCTGGGCAGGCTGAGGGAGAAAGAGGTGAGATTACAGAGGAAATGGATGAGGGCGGGAGCTCAGAGTAGAGGTGTTGACTCCATTCTTGGATCTCCTCCCATTTTTTAAATTTTATTTTTTAAAATCTCATTTTCTATCGCATCCTGACTTCAACAATACTTAGACCCTCTGAAGACCTTCAGTCCATGAATACTGTCCCTTTCCATTGTTCCTCACCTCCTTAGACC